CCGGGCTGGGGGACCCCCCTCCCCCCGCCCCCCGAGTGCACAAATTTTTGTGCACCGGGCCTCTAGTATGATATGAAATGACATATGACATATGAGTTTCGAGTTCCTTAAAAACTCATGTTACACAGAAAACCCCAAATAGTCAAGGTTTCTAAAATATCCTCCACTCAGTCCCACCCTTTTCTCATTGGTGGTATTATAAGGGACCCACACACAGAAGGAACGATTCTCTCTTCAAATTGGAGCCTCGGGGAACTTAGCCCAGTTGCTGGTGAGCCTGTGCTGGTGAGAAGAGATAACAGGCTTGTTCCCACGGCCAAATGAGATGGCTCCATGGTGCTTTCTCCTGTGCACCACCCCAGCCTGCCCCAACCTCACACGTGCCCTTCAGTCTCTTACCCACCAGGAGCAGAGGGATGAGGACTAACCCCTCCCTCTACTGAACAGACACCCAGGGCGAGGGGCCTGAGGTGTGGGGTCACCAGCCTGCTCTCTCCACTAGCAGGACAGTATTTACAACTGAGGATGACGTGGGTGGAGAGAGAAGAAATCACAGATGGTCGACATAAATGAACTTTCTAGATAAGAGAAACTTATTCCTTTAAATGTCAAAATATTTAAATAATGTTCATCATTTTGCTGTAGAAATTTCTCTGAGTAGTTGTTGTTCACTACTATATCCCTGGGACCTATGGTTGATCTTGGCACATGATTGTTGCTCAAATAAAATCTATTGTGAGAGTGAATGAAAGAATGAGTCAATGAATAATATATATATTATATACATAATGCTAAAAGGAGGCTATCATAAATATGGGTAGTTAAATATTTGAAAGATTGTCATATTGAATAAGAAACAGAGTTTCAGTTGCCTAAATGGGTTGAAGTTCAGAGGTTTGAGAGTTTTGTCCAGTGTGAAGGGGACTTTCCAAGAACTCTGACTCTCTACAGTGCACAGGCTGCCCTAAGATAAACAGATGCCTGTCCAACCTTGGACAGGAACTGGAATACCTCTTGTGAGGATGTTGTAAATATAAATCTCTGACTTGGGTGGAGGAATTCCACTTGCTGACCTCTGGGAGTTGGTGATTCAGGCCACTTCATGGACTTTTTTTTGTTTCCTTCCTCGTTGTCGGAGAACCTGCTAGATTAAGTAGATGTCCTTGCCTCTGGGAATAAAGATTTAGCCATTGCTTTGCATGTGTGGTCTCATTTCTCTGATGCCACTCAACAGAATGGGTACCTTTATCACTAAGTGTTAAGACCATGGTTATGTTGCTGAGTCTATTTAAATCCTGTATTGGGTAAGACAAAAATTCCAGTTTGGGCTGTTCCTGCTAAGAAAACTTTAGATTTATTTTTTAAATCATGTCTTGATATGTCAGTATGAAGCATTTTGTAAAGAATTTGAGCAGAAACAGTTCATAACCTGTGTTATAACAAACATATTGTTTGTCTAATCAAAGTCCTAGATTCTTCACCATATTATTATTACTCAGATACTTTGGCGTAATAAAAAATACGTTTTATGAATCATTTCTAAACCCTGATGAAATTTTAAGCCCTTTATTTCAGATTTTTTTGTTTGTTTGTTAATCCTCACCTGAGGATATTTTTCCATTGATTTTTAGAGAGGAAGGGAGGATAGGAAGGAGTGAGGGAGAGAGAGAGAAAAAGAGAAAGAGACATCAATATGAGAGAGACACATGGATTGATTGCCTCCCGCACGTGCCCCAACCTGGGCTAAGGATCGAACCTGCAACCCAGGTGCATACCCTTGACCAAAAAGTGAGCCCACAACCCTTCCATGTGCAGGCTGACGCTCTAACCCCTGACCCACACAAGCCAGGGCTCCAGCTTATTTTTAATAAACTTTTCCACTGTATTTTATGCAACATTGGGGATCTTCTGCTAATAACCCATAGTAACTTTCCAGTTGTGGGGGAAAAATTTGTTTAAAAACTTTGTGATCTTGTTAACTGTGTATTTGTACATGGAATGATCTGGTGGAGCTAAAACATTAGGAGGCTGTGTCCTGTTATTTTTAGAACTCTGTATCACTTCGCCCTTTTTGCCAGAGTGGTTCCTGGCTAACTTTCCCATGAGTTTTTAACCTTCTTGCTAGGCTTTGCTTATGTAACAGGAAACAGGCTGTCAGGAACAAATAGCGGCATATCAGGAGCACACGTTAGTAGCAAATGATTTAGTTTGCTCTGCCCTCGCTCTCTTCAAGTAGACCGATCCATGCTCTCCACCGTGAGACTTTTGGAGTGGCGTTCCTAGACTAAAATCATACAATTTCAATCTGGGAAAGGCCGGCTCTTTGACCAAGACCATGACTGGATCCGGGCGACAGAGGAGATGAGCGTGCATTAGGGAGAACTCTGCGGCGGTGTCATGTCCTGGGACTGCGGGTTTAAGTACATCTTTGCCTTTTCTCCGACTCTGAAGGCGGGGGTGATGTGCAAGCTTCAGGAGAGAGAGGACATCGGGCGCATCGAGCTGGTCCAGAAGCTGGCGAGGGAGAACTGTCAGTTTTTGCAGACGGACAAAAAGGAACAGGACAAATCTGAACACGTAAGCCCTTTTCCTCTTGGGGGTGCAGGTTTGAAAGGGTGGAAAGTGTTTCTGCCTGGTTGTATGCTTGAAGGAAAGAACTTTTTATTTTAAATTTCTTAAGGTTTGGCTTTTTATGTTCCCCTTTCCCCACCCCCTACCCCACCCCCAAAGGCATCCTCCTTAGTAAAAATGACAGCTCCGGGCCAGTGGTGTATGACACTGGGTTTATAAGAGAACTCTTCTCAGAAGTAAATCGTGTAGAAATGTAAGAACACATGTAAGCAGCTATGATTGCATGTCTACATATAGTCCAGATCGGATGGCTTTCAAGTTTGACTTTGGGAATTTCATCCCATCAGAAAGTTTGTGGAATATGAATTTTGAAAGAACATGTACTTTTTATGTTTAGGACAGGGGTGGTTCTAGTTACCAAACAAATGTATCTTAAGTCCCTAGAAATAGACAAGATGAGAAGAACCGATTGTAGAGGCTCTCACCCAGCGGGAGAGTGAGAAGGGAGTTTTCCCAGTGTCTTACGAATGTTTGTGTTCCAACAAGAGCTATATTGTCCGCACATAGTGAAACTGGAGGGAAGGGCCGCTGTGCCCGGCTCCCCTGAAAGCAGTCATTCAGATTGAGCCTCAGAACTGAGACCACTGCCGTCATGGCCGGGAGACAATGGAGCCACTTTCTTCTGCTGCACATTGTTGTCTGTTGACTTTCGCTGTTGTTTGTAAGACTTCACTCTCGGTGCTGAGCTAGCCAGGGTTGCTCATGAAGGGAAAATTCCTCAGTGCTTATACACATGTCTTTCTCTGACTTTAGTTTTTCCTTGGAATTTTATTTTCCACCCTTTCCAAGGGGGAAAAAGCGCTTCATGCCTTTTCTGCTCCAAGGCTGTCAATACCAATGCCAGGCTTTCACTGAGCAGGAGAGGAGCAAGTTCCGGGAAAGGAGGTTGGTTAGTGCAGTAACCACACCTCTCACGGTGTCACTTCAGATCATAGCAACTGGTGTTGCAAGGGACAGATAACTTCGCAGTTTCTGAGCCTCGTAACAGAACTATTTCAGGGGTGACTGACTTGACAAATGGAGATCTCGGAAGCCTTCACTTTGTTAGGCACCATTGAAAAGTTTAGGAACTTGTTTACGTTGTTAAAAGCACCCTGAAGGTTGACAACATCAAAGACTGACTCCTAACCCCTTCTATGTCCTTAGCATATTTGAATATCCCAGCCCATGGCTTAAATTTCTCAAAAACAGTATTCCTCTTGATAAATTTTAATTAGAAGAGCAACAGTTTTCATCTCCCATACTTCATTGATTTCAAGATGCACATCTCTCCCACCTTTTAGCATCTCTGAAATCAGGATGAATCTTAATGAATGATGACATAAAAGCATGTTATAGTTTAGGTGTGGGCATTTTTCTTTCCAACTGGCCCTTAAAATGAGTGATATATTTTATAATGCATTGCATATTCAATTCAGTGGAACAGTGATTACCTGAGCATAGGGCAAGATCTTTTAAAATCAAACAAACAGTAGAGTACCACTTCACCAAGATTAGAAATCATCAGCCTTAGGCCACATACAACTTTATGCTTATTTAAAAGGTACCTGTGTTGTGTTTGACTTATATTTAGTTCAATTCAGAATACTAGAGTTAGAGCTATTGAGAACATAATGCCCTCTGAATATGTCATAATAGGAATGTGAACTTGGTGCCAATAATGGTAAAGACTTTTAACTTGAGACAGAAATTTAGTGGTAGGAGATTTGCAACTCTGCTTATGTTATCTACTCTGTCATCTTCAAACATTCATTTTAAGATTGTAAAATAGAACATGAAGGTTTTTTTGGTGTTTTGTTTTTTTTTTACTTCTTGCATGATGTCATAACAGGGATGCACTAACAGCTGAAGTGTTGGTGCTTCTGGGAGGAAAGATGGTGTCTAAATAAACATGGGAATTAAGGCCTTTTCTCTGTAGGCTTTTCCTACTGAAGCTGACAGTGCGGAAAGGTGAGGAGCTTTTCTCCTTGGTGGTGAATATAAAGGGAGGCATTCCGCACTCTCCTTCCTATAGGATGACACCAGTTGAACTAATCAGCTCTCAATGCTATTTTTCTTTAAATGTTTTTATTTTTAATTTTTCAATCACAGTTGACATTAAAGACTATTTTATATTAGATTCAGGTGTGAAACTAATATACACACGTAGACAATCGTATACTTTACAAAGCATTCTCCCCAATATTTCCAGTACCCACCTGGCACCATACATAGTTATCACAGTATTAGTCACTATATTCCCTAAGCTGTACTTTATGTCCCCATGACTATTTTGTAACTCCCAATTTGTACTGTTTAATCCCTTCACCTTTTTCACCTCGTCCCCCAATTCCCTTCCCCTCTGGCAACCATCCGTCTGTTCTCTGTATCTCTGAATCTGTTACTGTTCTGTTTGTTTGTTTATAGTGACCTTTAGATTCCACATATAAGTGAAATCATATGGTACTTGTCTTTCTCTATCTGACTTATTTCATTTAGCGTAATACCCTCTAGGTCCATCCATGCTGTTGCAAATGGTAAGATTTCATTATTTTTAATGACCAGGTAATATTCGATTATATACAAGTACCACATCTTCTTTATCCAGGTGTGGTTATCCAGTTGCTTCCATATTCAAAGCTGATATTCATTGGGTGCTCCACTAAATGGATTATTTGATACTAGATGCTTATACTTTTTATAATAGTTTATTAGTAATAAAAACCATTTGGTAGGTTATATTACTCTTTTAAGTCTTAAGCATTCAGTATATCAATCCCTGTACTTGCACGTTGAGTTCACAGTGTCCATGTGGTGGGTGCAGCATTTTTCTTTTTCCTGCCCTTGTTTTCTTTTCAATAGCCGTCATCTGTTCTTACTCATGAAAACTCAGTTATAGCACACAGCATGTACAGAGGAAACTACAGTTTACTTAATGTAAACCCAGGTCTGCCGTTTCCTCTTCTTGTTATAACAATAGCAAAGCCTGAAATGACATACAGATTTCCTTTTTTTAATGTTTTTAAAATGCTTCACCTACCTCATCTACTATTCCTGGGCCAATGCTGGTTCAGGAGATAGCCGTAAAATTAATTCGAGTTAGAATCCCAGTTGCCTATTGAGTCATTCTTTTTACTAAACTGCATTGCTTCCCCAGTTCTGGAACGCCATATCCCTTTTTATACCTCTGTGCCAACATGAGAAAGCTACTTTGAAGTAGTACTGCATAGAGAAAGACATGAATTTGGTAGAATAAAGCTTTGGTTGCTGGTAGGTCTTGTTGCAAATTGAAGGGGCTCTGAGCTTCCTGAGGAGACATTTTCTAAGTTTTGCCATGATTATAATAAATGCCATGATTATAATAAATGCATGCCATTAGAGAAACGCTTCACTCTGAGCTTTTGCCAGGGTGTTTCTGAAATGAAAAAAGTGAAATGTATAATTATCACAAGTTTCTCAGGAAGCACCTGGTTTTCCTCTTTTCTATGAACTAGCTGTAGGCAAAATTACCCCACATTTATTCCTAAGTGTTGAAAATTATGTGAGGACTTTAAAAAGGGGCCAGAAAATGGCTGTTTCTTCTAAATATTACGATAGTGAGATTAACATTTAGTCATTAATTATTTAAATAAATTACTTCTTATATAGGCATCCTATCTCCTCTTCTTAATTCTATGATTATATCAATAGAGGAGGGAGCATGTGTTACCAAATGGGAACTTTTGAGCTTGACCTTGTAGGATGACTGAAGGTCACTGAAAGGCAGGATGGGGAAGAGTGTTTTAGGCAGAGGGACCAGCAGGAAGACACTGGGTGACTCATGGGGAAAGAAGGCAGTGGGATGAAGGAGAGGTTAGGATTCGATTATGAAAGACCCAGTAAGCCAACCTAAGGAGTTGAGACTTGCTTTTCTGGCAAAAGAAAGCCATCAGAGATGGGAAGTGGCATAATTACATGTGGTCTTCATAAGATCTCTCTCACATTTCTTTAGAGGAAAAATTGAGTGAGGGAGAGGAAAGTTTTGGAGGGAACCCTTAGAAAGCTATCGTAGTGAGTCACGTTGAAAGATGTAAGCCTACACCAGGGAGGTAACTATGAGAAATAAGATTAGGTGGTGAAATTTGCAGAATCTGATGGCTGGTAAGGGAGGGGTGTGCATATGTGTGTGTGTGTTATTTTATATTCAGCATTTTTTGAATTTGTATGAAGGTTTTTTGGTACAGTGTAGACACAAAAATTTCTGTTTATTGCCAGAATGGTTGGTCTCCTTTGCCAAAGAGATGCATGAGACATGCACCTTGCTTTGTTTTCCTGCAGTATGTCTCCTAAGGCACAGGATATTTATCTCATTAACAAATTGTCCGATGGGGTTCTCGCCAGCAGTGTGGGGACTACATGAACTTTCTTTTTAGACCAGACACCTTGACAAAACCGTAACCGGCGAGAATCTCTGGAAGCCCCAGAATAAACTGGATTATTTGGCCAAAGGTTGGCATTTGCTGCAATGATGTGTATTCCTTCTTCAGAACGAACCGTGACTTTAGGGGCGCTCTCCTGACCCACACGGTCTGAGCTGGTGTTTGACAGATTAGGAAGCTGAGGCAGGTGCGTGAGTAAGCAGAGCTGGGATGAGAGTGAACTCAGTCTGATGGCCTCAGTGGTCACCTTTGGAGGGAGGACTGAGAGGAGGACAGAAGCTAAGAGGATTAGAATCACAATAGTCCTGAGAACGAGGGCCGATTTGGAGGACAGACCTGCAGGAAAGACAGAACGATAACTTACTAAAAAGGTGGGGGGAGGTGTGAGAAGGACCAAAGGAAAAGGGATGCAAAGGTGCTTGCTTAGTTGGAGTCCTAACTCAGATTTGAAAAGCTTATACACTGTTCACATTTTTATCAGTGGAGTAACTGTATTAAAATATACGTTTAGCTACGGGTCTGTTTTTCTGGAATACAACGGCACTATCT